CTCGCACAACAATGCACAACAAAGCGTGATTACTGGTTGAGCAGACCGCCGGCAAACGTTGGCACCCTGAAACCAGGGCGGCACAGCACATCACGCTGTGAATTATTGACAATTCCCAGCACACTACCTCTGCACTTCTTCTACTCGTCTTCTCTCACCCCGCCGAGTACTTAGTCAAATCCCAGCAAAACAAGGAGATGAGAGAAGCACAATGGTTCCCCTGGCCAGTGCAGGGCACGACTGGAGCTGGAGCGGCTGGCTCGTAGGGAACAAATCTGACAAACAGCTGAAGGGGAACACAGAGGAAGAAAAGTAGTCGACTACTAGAAGTGAGGGGAGAGGACGTGCACCCAAAGCAGCGACAGAACAATGGCCAACAAGATGGACCAAACGATGACGATCGTTGGCGTCTTGTTGGTCTTTCCCATCAAACCCTTTGCGAAGGGGTACAAATGAGTGAGCACCCAGAAAGAGAAGAAGACCATGCCGACCAACCGACCCCAGTTCTGCTCGCTTCGGCCCTTGTACATTTCACGCGAGACTCCTGCAAAGCATGCAATAATATTAACAATCATAATGGTGGTTGGAGGAACCATAAGCCACGTCCAGCGGAACGCATAAAGCTCAGCATAAGGGTCATCGTCGTCATCGCTTCCCTTCTGTGTGAGGGTGAAGGAGATATCCACTCTGAAGACCACCTTAAGCAGACCTTGCGTCACAGCGGCAAGATGGGCGCTCGTTCCTCCGATGACCCAGAACTGCTCGTTCCTCCACCATTCCTCGAGCGAGACACCGCTCCACCGGATTTCGAGGATGGAAACCATGAAGATGGAGATGAAGAGCAATAAGAAGTACAGAACTGCAATCTCTGTGATTTCATTGATGATGAACTGGTTGGTGAAGAGGCAGAACGCCGGCAAGAAGCAATACAGCAGCAACGCAAGGGACGTGAACGGGTACACGACGGTGTTGATATATGCCAGTCTCTGCATAACCTTGAGGCTTTTGAAGTAATTGTGGAAGAGAGGGTTGTGTCTGGAGAAGAAGATTTCTACCGAACCCGTGGCCCACCGAAGCACCTGTCCAAGACGATCTGTTAGATTGATAGGGGCGGATCCCTTGAACGCAGGCCTCTTGGGCATACAGTAGACAGAATGCCAGCCATTCACATGCATCATCAGTCCCGTGACAATGTCTTCTGTGACCGACCCGTACATCCAGCCGACCGTCTTTCCCCACTCTGTGTTCTCCTCGTACCCGCAGGAAATGACCAAGATCACATCGCTGAGAACTTGGTACGCGCCAACATCAGGGACGCTACCCTCTGCATCGCCGACAGTCGCAACGAAGTTGCGGCACATTCCAAAGCGCTTCGTATGCCATTGAGTCGGCACCAACTGCATTTCCTCCTCATCCACCTGACCAGGAATAACAGCGGTGAGGAGCCGTCTGTGCTCCAGAGCATCCTTGGTACTGCGCCGACTGCCGCAACAGCAGCAGAGTGCAGCACAGCATCCACGCGACGGGGGCTTGTAGTCCAGCTTGCCGCTCGGTATGGGCGGACATAATCCGTACAACGCTTGGCGACGAAACACACAACCCGTACCGACATACATTGGCCCCTGAACACCGTCCAAGCCCTTCATGTTCACATCGAAAAAGATCGTGTTGTGATTTGCATACCTGTCGTTCTTATCAACACCGTCGAACCGCTGAGGGAACTGGACATAGCACACCTGACTTCCCTTCTTCGGATCCATCAGGAAACACATCGCCTCTCGAACGGCTTTCGCATTGTTGACGTAGTGATCGCAATCGAGATTGAGAATGAAGGGCCCATTTGTGATCAGCGCACTCGACCGCATCAGAGCATTCATAGCACCTGCCTTTTTGTTGTGGTTCACGCCGGTTCTCTTCTCTCGAGAAACATACACCAGCCTCGGCATAGGGTCCCCATTGATATCCTGAAGCCGTAGGAACCCACAACAAAGACGCAATCAACACAGAGAAAGAGAGAGAGAATGTTTGTTACATTTAACCAAAGAAAACTTGATGCAATTCCAACACACACACACACACACACACACACACACACACACACACACAGAGTGTTTGTTAAATTTAACCGAAGAAGACTCGATGCAATTCCAACACACACACACACACACACACACACACACACACAGAGAGAGAGAGAGAGAGAGAGAGAGAGAGAGAGAGAGAGAGAGAGAGAGAGAGAGAG